TGAAGAAGAGACTCAAGAGCACGTAATAGTAGGGCTGGGCATGCGGGCGGATCATCCGCGGGTTTGGGCCGACCCACCCGCATTTGACCCGAATTTTGTTAAGTGGATGGGTCTGTGGGTGGGTGACGGGTTGCGCTGGGAGCCATCCGCCGGGTGGTGGGTGGGTTGTGGGTGAGTGTGCGGGTGACCCGCTCAACCCATCAGCAAAAAGATCAAAGTCGTTGGCGCTAGAGAGAGGAGAGGGGAGACGTTAGATATAAATTCGGACTACTCCTGGAGTTTGAACCTCAAAGCCAACCTTCCAAATAGAGATCCCCTCTTCTTCCCTTTACTTTTTTCTCTAATTCTTGTGCCTAGATCACCGCTCTTTCCTTTGTGGAATTATTTTCCTTAGTTCCTTGCACCTAATAATTGTCTCAATCTGTAGAAAACTCTTTCATAATAGAATTTCTATCCAATTTAAGAACTAATTCGACATTTTTCGTCCTATTTCAACTTCTTGTTTCCCTCGATGATTCTTTTCACCTATTATCATGTCAAGTTGACTCCTTTATATTATATACATTGTGATGTGGGTGAACCCACAAACCCACCCGCATCATCCACCATCCGCCCGACCCAACCCGAGACTAAATGTGGGTGGGTGGTGGGTTAAAAATTATCAATCCGTTTAAGCGCGGGTGGGTGCATTTTATGGTCAAAATCCACCCAACCCACCCAATGCCCACCCCCTACGTAATAGTACCAAAGCCCAGTTATAGTGTCTCCAGATTCACAAAAATAAATCAGAGCACAGACTGCAAAACAAAGACAATTAATTACCCTAATGACTGGTTCATATCCACTGGAGCCGCCAGTTCCTATGGGCCCAGTTGCAAAAGGTCCAAAGCCTGGCATGTTCCTTTCAGGCCCAAATCCCAGATTAGGTCCATCAGGCCTAGGTACTTCTCCACAATTTCAGTCTCTCAAACTTTTAAAAGTTTGTTGTTTGCTTGTAGGATTTGTTGATGTATTTTAGGATTATGGATTTATCACTTTACAGGCTAGTTTGCCTTACTATATATGCTTACTTCATTTGTTTTTTTTTATATATGGTGGCAAGACAACTTAGATCATTGCTCATGTACAAAAACTGGTGTGTTGTTCGAAATTCATTTGGTCATATACAATCCAAACGCAATTTATCGATTGTGAAAAACCCGTTGTCGTGCTAAGACAACACTGCTTTCATTCTCATACCATGCCACAAAATGATAATCCTCTACAAATACACTTTAAGAGCTTTCAGGAGGGCATCCTGGGCAGCACAATGAGGTTCCATGATCCCAAGTTCATTCTTCTCTGCAACTGAATATTCTTGAGCTGTTGGTTTTTGGCGCTGTGCTTATCAAAAAAAATTCTGCTTTGTCCAATAAGCAATAATGTTCCCACTTTTAGTTCCGGTCCAATAAACATATGTTCTGGGCCAGATTTAGAGATCCTACTTCTTCATTCATGGGCTCGTTTGCTTTTATAGATTGGGGCGATACTCAAATCCAATCCATCATAAATTAACCCTAAACTCGAAGTTTGTTGGATAAATATGGGTGTCAAATTTGTAGGTGCACGGATTTGGAGGTTTGAAATTTCTGGTCCACAAATTTGAAAAATTCTAATCTATATTCTATAGGGTAAATTGCAAGGTTGGTTACTGAATTACTAAAATAGTTCGTGTTTGACCCTCCATTTATTTCAACTTAGACATTCATAATTTTAAGGATAATTTTAAATATTTTTTTGTATTACTATCAGTCTAGAATCCGTGGATCCAAGTTTTGATCACTTAAGTAGCCCTTAACTAAAAATAAGACTTGTATCACATTTATGAAAATAAAAAAGGAAAGGATAATTTTAAATATATAATGGATAAAATAATTTTAAACAATATTAGTATTCAAGACATTATTTTTGTAGTGATAATAATGAATACCATGTAATAAATTAAAACAATGATTATTTTTTTGTTCGTAATTTACTTGTGTATATGAAATATACTGCCATAAGAATTTCTAGTTTAGATCTCATTTTTTCCGTACTTGAGGAAAAAAAAGGCAGTAAGCCCAAATGTTATAGGTATAATATACACATCTATTATGCATTTTTGTCAAACATGCTCATTCATGGTTTTTCTTACATTAAACATGTTCATCCGTAATTTTTTTCCCCATCAAACATGCCTCTACGCATCGAAAATCAAACCTGCCTTTCTTTTAAATTCATAAAAAAAAAATCAACGACGGTCGAAATGTTGTTCAGGAGACTAGACCTTGACAAAATGAATGAGTAAGTGTCGGTTTTATACCTCTATTTTATTTCTCTAAATCTCGGAAAACCGGAATTATAAAAGGTATTGTACTATAAATATTAAAGTAAACTTATTAGAACTATTTTAGGTTGCGAATGTAGTTGATGGGTTTTTCCCTAACCCAAACCCATGCATGCAGCAGCAGTACTGCCTGCCACCCTAGCTTTCTCCGGTGGTAATAACTGCAAAAGCCAAAACTCACTGCCACAACAATACAAGTGGCTTGGTGTTGCAGAAATCAGAAAGACAAAAAAAACAAAACAAAACCCAATAGATCAGAGAAACACAAAGAAAAAAAAAAAAGGAGGAAACTGCCAAAGGGCAAAAGAGGGCGCCGTGGAAGGAGAACAAGTGCAAGACATGCGGAAAGAACGTGGCACATCCCCTCTGCCCACCACATACTTGTCACCTGAAAAAAATTAAAACCCCATCCCTCCCTCCTTCCTGCCTTCTTGCTACCTAGCTTCTGCCTGCATTGCATGCACACCCTTCTCTCTCTCTCTCTCTCTCTCTCTCTCTCTCTCTCTCTCTCTTCCCTCGAACGAAGGCAAAAAGTTAAAAACACATACTCCGCGAAAACGCATCGAGAAATCGACAACGAAAGAAAGAGAGGGAAAAAAACAAAGTGCATAAAAGATTTACGCGTGATTCATTAACACGATGCGTATCAGTATCAGGTCGTGATTCACCACTGCACTTGAGGAACCAAAAACAGTAAATATACACCGTGAAAAAAAAAGATCCGGACGAGATCCAAAACGGTAAAATATTCACCGTGACTTCCCGTCGACGACAAATAATCTGTCTTTTGAAACTGAAAGCCTGGCTATGTTCATTGCTCGCTCGTAAGTCGTAACCGTCGTCTTCCTTCGTTCACAGCCTTTTGTCTTTGGTCATTGTTATTGCCGCCTTTGCCTTTAATTCTCATGCACTTTAATTTTAGCTTCAACCCCCGGCTATGTAATAAGGGTTGTTATTTGGTCCCGTATTTTAGGTTTTACCTAAAACCGGATTGTATAATCGAACCGAGATCGGATTGGAATCGGATAACAAACAATCCAACCCAATTTTCGGGTCTATATTTGAGGTAAAAAAAACCGTTTCGAATCGAAAATCGGATAAGAGAGCCCAACACCCAAAATCTAACATCCTCACCCTTTCAGACTTTAGGCTACTCAAATCCCCCCTCATGCCACTCAAATCCCCACAACCTCAATCTAAAATCAAGACCGGATTTGGACAGAACCAGATCAAAACCGGACTATATCTAATCCAATCTTTGATCTTTATATTCTCGAAAAAATCGGACCGGATCGTATAGCCACCCGACCTTATCTACGCGCCTGAACCAGACCAGGTACCGCCCACGATCTACCACTACCACACGGAACGACATTTTACGAGGACAAGAGTTCGCCCACTCCAACGCATATGTAGTTATTTGTTTTTAGCTGAATATAATTAAGCGTCAACTGTGACAACATGTATACCTATATCTACTTTAACACACCAAATAATTAGTTATATAACTTATATGCTTAGCTTTTGTACGCATAGTTAATTAATATAATTAAGTCGTTAGATTTGGTTTTGTCTAGCTTCAATGTATGTACACTACCTAACAGTGTGTCCACATGATTTAAGTATACAAACGTAGCTTATTATATGGAGTTATTGGACAAGAATATATATCAACACCAATTGGTCAGTTTAATATAATACCAACTAATGCAACTACTGGATATATAGTCTTAAATAGGTTTTTCTTTTTTCCACACCAAAAATTGGTGATTAGCCCTAGTTGTATGATATATGGCCTGTTTTCATGGCGAGACTTACGGCCATACGTTTTGGAGCAGTTGAAGTTAGGAGTCCTTTTTTTTTTTTCTCTTTACTTCATTTGTACTTAGTTTTTTTTTTATCTTCTTCTTCTTTTAAGTTTCTTCTTCATTCCTTTAAGTGATGTATTGTTGTCGGCCGCACTGCACGCTCCGTTCGCACCGAATTATGACACATTGGCACGAAATGAAGCAAATACTTCGCAAAGAAAGACAAGAAATTGTACTGCATCAACACAATATGTAACAAATACTTTGGCTTACAAAGACGAGAAATGTTATTAGATCCATTTCAAAGACTTTGTCTCTCGTAACTCTGAGCATGAAGAGATTGTGTCGGCACTGCTCTGCACTCGTTTGCACTGAATTATTCGTCTTTCGTAGAGACTGTCATTCCACCAGCTCGACCACTGAGACGATGTTATTCTACGGAATTATAACACTCGAAAACGCAGGGGCAATTTCATTCAACATATTCAGAACGAAAAAAAAAAATTTTAATGGAGAGACTATCATTCCATTGCCTCGATCACCAAGGCAATTTTATTCAAGGAAATCGTCGAATTCAGAACACTCGAACACAAAATCTTATCTTTCGTAGAAACTATCATTCTACTACGTTCCTCGATCACCAAGACAATTTTACTCAACCGACCCGAACACGAAATTTCTCTTGTAACTCAAGGGACGCCTCACAACAACTCGGCATATACGATACATGACCTACACAATTTTTGTAGATTTCATATTAATTTCCTGGATATGATGCTTCACGAATAAAAAGGAAACATATATTGCCAAATTCAAGCGTGATGAGAGGACAAACATGCAATTGCACAAAAATGGTTTGCTAGAGCAGAAATGGGATCCCGCCTCTATTGATTATTATTTTCCCCTTTTATCGAAACCCTTTTTTCATTTACAAGTCCTTTCTTTTCCCCTTTTGTACACCTTCCATTTGTTTCATTCTTCACCATAAAAAAGGGTCCAAAAAAGAAAGACAGGAGCGCTCCAAGAACGAACAAAGAACAAAAGGAAAACAAATTACAGATAACAAAAACTACAAGCCGATAAAGAAAAGAAAAAAAAAACTAGTTGCCAACTCTCTGCTACTGGACAGGAGAAGCCGAACTCAGCCGAGCCGAGCCGAGCCGCCAAAACTGGACTATTTTGTCTCTCGTTCACCTACTAGTCTTCCTTTTTACACTTTTGCTGCTGCTAGGGATTTCAACAAGCCGAACACTCGAGCCCCAGCTCCATCTTACACGTGTCCTCATCACACGCCTCCACCCTCCGCTTCTTCACCGGGACCACGTGACCGCCACGTGATGCCGCTGCCGCTGCTGCCGCCGCCATCACAATCGGCTCAAGCCCCAGCGTCAGCTCCAGACCCAGCCCAAGCCCAAGCCCAACTCCCACGCAGTTATCTGGGCCGGGACCTTCCTTCACTCCCGCGGCGGCGGCCGACTCCGGCTCCGGCCCGAAAAGCTCCGCCGTCTCCCCCGACACCATGCTCTCCGTCTCCTTGCTGTCGTCCGCCACCTCCGACCCGTGGCTCACCGACGACTCGTGGCTCGTCGAGCCGCCACCACCACCACCGCCGGCGGGGCGGTCCACGACGACCCCGGCCGGCTTGTTGGGCTTGGGCCTGACGACCCGCCTGACCCGGGACCGGGGCTTGGCCCGGGCGAGACCCGACCCGACCCCTCCGTCGCTGGATTTCGAATTCGCCGCGGCGGCCGACTGGTTGTCGTCTTTGGAGACGTGGCGGATGTCGTAGGCCTTGAAAGGCGGGCCCTGGCCCGTGGCTGCGGCGTCGGAGTTGATTGGGGTGATCGGATCCCCTTTGAGCACGGCCTCGACGGCGGCCTGGCAGAGGTGCCAGCTCCCGGACCACAACAACCCGACCGACCCGTAGATCGGGTTGACGATCCGCCCGCACGCCTCGTACAGCAAGGATCTGAAGATCGCTGCGGAAAAAAAAATTCAAAATTCGTTAGCACAAAGGTGACATGCAATTGTGGAATTGAGAGTAAAGATTAAAGTTTGAATTAATGGGAATACTATCATGCTATGTTATGTATACCAGGACGGAGGTGGTCGGGCCCCGCGTTGATGAGATTCATGAGCCCCGCGCGGCCGTAGAATTTGGCGAGGAAGACGGTGGCGTGGGCCTGGGAGTCCGGGGATTTGATCCATTGGAGGCAAGGGCGGATGCTGCAGCTGTCGCTGCAGCCCTTGCGGAGGACGCGGCACCCATTGCAGCTCATCCGCATTTTTTCAATTTCCTCCGGAAATTGAAGCAAATCGGGTGCTGAATAAGGTTTGATGGACTCTTGTAAGGAAGAAGAAAAGGGGAGTAGCAGTTTTGGGGAAGGGAGAGAGAGAAGAGTTTGGGAGTAGTGTGGGGAAGAAAAGATGGTTTTGGGTATATAATAGGGGATGGTGGCCGCTGTTTTACGGGAGATTATAATATTATACAATTAATTTTTTGCATCTGACTATCGCCACGTAAACATTGCGGAAAACGCCAACCTTTTTTTTCTCAGCTCCTGGTTTTCGGGAGATGTTTCCATTTTTTTTGTTTAAGGGACAAAAAGAAAAAAGAAAGACCAAAACAAAACAAGGGGCAAAGCAAGGAAGGGAGTCAACATGATGGAAAACCGTTGGCTGGGTGTGGGGGTTTTGCTGGTTTCTGGTTTTCCCCCGCTCTATGGGCGCCTCCCTCCCTCCCTTAATGGAATAATAATAGTAATAATATTATCTGCATCCCTAAACCGCAATTAATTAATTGATTAAGTAAAGCACGCAATCTAATCGAGCGCTAAAACACACCAACGACTAACACATGAAGGGAATCTAACATGTTTAACAGAGCGTCAACCCCCCCGCCCTCCTTTTGCCTAATCCAGCTACTTGGGGTTAATCAATTAATTAGTGTTCATTCTGCACTCATGATATATAGAAAGCTTTTTTTCTTTTTTTCTTTTTCCTTTGCAAAGAGATTGATGTTAATTTCAACAACTAGTTGATGGGTCATTATCATTACCGAATAAAAACCCCTATTCTTTTAGAAATTGGTTGGATTGATTGATTGGTTGCTTCTTGATTGTATAGATGGATAAATCACGCCAATTAATAGATTTTAATATGGATTTTTTTTAAATAAAATTTTCTTAGGCTGCACATTGTTGTTCATTGCATTGCAGCTAAGTTTGACGATGATGAGAAAATGTGAGATTAGTAAATTTATTGATGTTGTGATGATGGTATTTATTTCAATTGCTTAGAGATACTTCATTATTAATAACAACAAGCTCGAACCCTGTGATGATTAGATTGCAGAGGTGAGGAAAGAATAGAAGAAGGTTGATGTGCAAATAAAGGAGGTGATTTAAATTCAATATATCAATTCAATTCATACACTAAAAAATTAAACTAATATAATTTATTTAAAATCAGTCCATTCAAAATTCATGAATATTTGAAAGTTTTCAATTTTGTACCTATATATTTTATACTTTGATACCTTACTTCTAATTTTTTGGTCAAAAAATATCATTCGAAAACTATATTTTAGTACCTAAAATTTTTCATAATGATATTTTGGTACCTAAACTATTCAAAATATACATAATTGTCCAACATTTGGGTGTCAGTTGGATTTATGAATCTAAGCCACCAGCTCATTTGAGACAATCTATCAATCCACCAATCCATAGATCAGCGTAAAAAAGAAACTTCTTTCTCTCTCTACCTTTCCTTTCTCTTACTTGTCTCTAGCTTAGGGTTTCAATTCCAATTTCCACCATAGGGTGTCGTCAGCTTCCCTTTCGGGACTGGCGGCGGCCCTCCATATTGTTTTCGTTTAGCTTGCTTTCTTACTTTCGCTTTGTCGATTTGGTTTCCTATGTTTACCTTGCTTTCCTCTATTCTTCTTTTGCTTCTCCTGCCTTGATCGACGCTTCTCTTTTTCCTTGCACGGGTTCTCTCTATGCTCCCTTTGTGGGTTATACTTTTGTTCCTCCGATCTAGTTCATAGATCTGGATATGTTTGATCTAAGTGCCTTGGAGGCTGGTTGCTCTTTCGACTAGTTTGTCTTCCCCTTTCCAACCCCCTTCGTCCATCTCCTTGTTGTTTCACTCTGCAAGTTTGGTGATTCGGAGATGCAAAAGCCCTTGGTTTGGACTTGGCTTGGAGAGGTTCGAAGACAGAAGATCATCCCTCTAGCTCCTCTCACTGTTCCCCTTTATCGTTCATGATGTTTTTCCGTGGTGTGGGTGTGGTGATGGTAGCAGCGATCTGTAACACCCCACCCTAAAACTCATGGGTTGGACCAATGGTTCACCCACACAGCTGAATCTCTATCGGGGGTTACGCAAAAACTCAACTGTTTATCAATGATAACGTACATACCAACATCATTTTAATCCAAAATTACCATAATCAATTCCCAAATTACCCATCATATACCAAAGATCAACTCGATCCAGTTCATTCATTTCATGTAAACCAAATCAGAGTGTCATTCACTACTATGTTCATTCCGGTACCATCTACTATGCAATACCCAAATCATCGACTCATAAAACATAAATGAGAGTCATTTCAAAATCTGGGAAAAATTCAAAACCAATCCTCCATCGATCATTGTGCAGTGCCAGAGTTTCTCTCAATTCATTCGAACCTGTAAGAAACTGAACAGAAGTGGGTCAGCAACTAAGCTGTGTGTGTGGATCTTTCCCACGACCTAATTTTGGGACCGCAATCAGCTAATCAAACAATCATAATCAATCATAATTTAGTTCTCTAGATGTCATCTTAAATCATCATATATAAATTACCGATCAAATTATCAGAGCCACCAACTCATCATCACCAAATCAATTTATCCAATAAGATAATCACATAATTTCACGAACACATAATCAATGCATGATATGAAAATTCCGGTTAATTATTAATGGCGCCAAGGTCACCATACACTTACCCTCGCTCGAGCAAATCATCATCCGTGGTGCTCATGCTACCACAACACTCAATCCGTGGTGCTCATGCAACCACAACACTCAATCCGTGGTTTTTAACCACAACACTCATCCGTGGTGCTCATGCAACCACAACACTCAATCGCATAAGCGAGCTAAATCTACCCACTCTCAAGGGGTGAGGGTAAGTGCAGGCCCTTTCTATGTCTACGTGAATTAATATGATCACGAACCAAACTATTTCCATTTTTCTCATCCATCACAATCAATCCGGAATCAATGTAGTCTCACGGATTGACCAATCCATATATATATTTCCCGTCGATTATCAACTCGACGTTTCAAAAAAAAAAACTATTTCATCATCCAATACCGAATCACATAAATCATTTCATTCTCCAGTAAAGCTACTCAGCAGTACCATATCACCATTCCTCATCCAAACTCCATCAACAATTTCACGAAATAGTGCCAACGCAAATAATTACAAATAACCCGATCGCGGTTAAAAATATCCTTAACTCAAAATTCACTTTCCTTCATTAAAATCCTCATAAAATTCATGTAACTGAATTTATTGACACAAAAATCCATTTAATCTAGTTCTGTTCATAAAAATCAATTTAGACAATAAAATATAAAAAATCTCGTATTAACCATTATTTTACGATAAATTAAATTCCAACCAAACGGTAAATCCAAAAATCTCCCAAAAATACAAGAACCTCCATTTATCACCATAAAACAGGTCTGTCCAGTTTTTATATTTTTCAACGGCTCAAAACCGTGAAAATAATATTACACTCGGTATTTATCGCAAATCTCGTATTAAGCTCATTTTTACCGTTTTAAAGATAAAAACTCCACCAACTGTCTAATTTACCCTTTTCAGACCACAACCCATTTAACAATCCATACTGACCATTTTGAAGTGATCCAAATCTTAAAGATAAATAAAACACGTTTTTACCGAGCTTTTCGTAAAATTCACCGTTATGCAGTTTTTAATCCGAAAACCATTTTCAAGTGAAATATTTTGCTCAACCTGCCCCAACCTCCTTTTAGACAAACAAAAATCTCTTAGATCAGTTTTAGACTCAAAAAACCCAACTATTCATTTTTACGGGGAAACTTGTCAAATATCGATATTTACACCGTAAAATCCATAACAATCAAGAATAATCACCAAATCATCATATCAACAAATAAGTCATCACCCACAGTAATCCATCCATCCAAATATGCAAATCAAGCATAAATAATCGATGCAATAATTAAGGTCCTCTTAATCCCCACACACCTTAATTTAGCTGATTCCAAGTCGGGAATTAAGTTCTAAAATTCCAGAGATTGGCTCCTAAAAATTCTCCTCGTTCCCACGGTCGTGTAGGCGCAAACGGTTCGTCGTTTGGACGTCAAACGAAGAAACTGCGAGCCGATTAAGATTAGTATGGAAAATTACCGAATAGCACCTTATATTTTCGAACTGTCAGACACAGCTCTGGAACTTAAAATCGTACAATTTTATGAACAAACTTTCGAACCTCGTTTCTCCCTCGTTTGAGCTCGGAATTCGATTCCGTCGACTCCGTGATGCTCCTGGAGACGAGCTCTACGCATCGGTACTAAATTTCGGAATTATCGTCGCAGTTGGCGATGCCGACGTCGACGTCGGGATTTACGACGAGCCTCCGATGAACCTCTTACAACGTTCAAAATCGATTTCTGACTTCATATATGAGTTTATAGGGGTCCTATTATCTAAACTCGACCCTTGGACGATTGTTTTTTCCCCTTTCTTTCTCCCCTCTCGTTCTCCCGTTTCCGTTCGGTTGTGGAACATGTATACGAAGAAGAAGAAGATGGAGTTGAGTGGGGTTTTGTAACGATCAGTTCCAGCACCCTTTCCTCCCTCTTAACTCCCCAGACGTCAACCATTAATTCCCTTCTGAAGGCCGCCTTCAAATTTGCAGGTGCGTTGGAAGGAGGAAATACCAATTCCAACGTTGGCCGCCGCTTGTACATCCATATCTGAAGCTCTGGTCACAGCCCCTTCTATTAGAACGACGACGTACAAGACAAGGCTGGTTATACAAAGGAAAGCCTCTACAATTATATTAAAAGCTGTTCGTATAATTTGAGCACGAAATGGTATATAGCCTAGTGGATTTGGTCCAGTTTCATTGCTTCAATTTTAACCAATAGGTTCACTGTTCAAATCCCGCTGTTGTCTTCTTTTTATTTTGTTAATTTTCTTTCTATTTCTTTCTAATGCGTATCCATATATAATAATCAGTTACTATTATTGTTTTTCGTAACATCTTCTCTCGTCGACGATGCAACTCCAGGGCATAGAATCGTAGCTCTAAATTTGTAGAAGAAATTTATTTTCCCCTTTTAAAT